TTTTTCCATTTCTCACTTCCTAGGGGCTACAGTCCCTTTTCTATGTAAGAGAGTCCAACCCCTCAGCTCTAAAAGCCCCTGTGTCAAATCCCTTCTGCTGGCGAGCTTTGGAGGCAGTGCCGTGTTGTCCTCTGCAGGGTTGGAGGGCTGAAGGGGAGCACACCATGACGAGGCGACCGCTGACATGCTAATATTTCATTTTAATCTTGAGTGCCAGGTTACTTTCCAAATGAAGTGTCTCTGACAAGGCTCTAACTTACATGAAATAAAAGAGTTTAATGCTAATTAAATATCATCTGACTACTGAAGCCATATTTATTGATGGTCTAAAAGAACATCATCGAGGTGGGTAGACTGGGAACGTGTCTCCACTAGAAACGTACCTTCGAGTCCCGGAACTCCTGCATTTCAGGCTCGCACACCCCACGCGTGGCGAAGCACATGTGGGTGGGACCCCAGAGCCGCCCCTGCAGCTTTCTCTGCCGGATACAGAGGTCAGCGCCTTTAATGTGGATTTGGTTCAGGAGGTCTGGGTGGGGCCCAGGCTGCTCGTTTTTAACCAGGTCCCAGGAAATGCTGATGATGCTGGTCCAGCTGCACGGTGAGTAGTAAGAGTCTAGAACAGACCAGGGTGAGTTCCTGGCACCACTGCTCACAGGGAGTGACAGCCCTGTGTGGAGTCTCCCACTATACTGGTCTCGCCCACCCCCTCCATCTCTCCTTCCTCCTTTCTTTATCCCAGACCTTCCTACTCCTCCTTCCTGTCCCAGCCTTGTTGTCGCTCTCCCAAGGCCAAGAACGGGGTGATTCCTTCAGGTAGTGAAAGTCTTCATGCAGGGTTTGACCCAATCTTCCACCATTTGCCTTGTCTGATTGCCCTACCCATACTTGGAACAGCTCAAGGGCAGAGCCTCCATTCCAGCATCTTACTTCTGTGCCTCCAGGCGAGTGCTTCTCCAGATGGCAAGGAGGGGGATGCACTTCCTGACCCTCTGTAAACAGGGACTCGCATGGGGTAGAACTGGCCTCAGCAGCTGTGTGTTGGCTGAGCTTGGTAGGTAGGGCCTGGAATGTGAGGTCACGCTCTCCTGTCTACCCTCCAGCTTTCCTCTGCTGAGGCTTCTCTGGACTGCGTCTTCCCTTTCCTCTGAGCAGCAGCCTCCTAACGGCATAGACGAGGGAGGCAGGGCTCCAATGCTGCAGGGGTGAGAGCATCCTCGTCAGTGAACAGGGTGCGACCACTCGGAGGTGCACGCCCCAGTGGTTGCCCATGGCAATGGGTCCAGTGTTGCTAGACCTTTGGATTTTTCTAGAGAGGTCAGAAGTCTGGATTTTCAGATGGAACTCAGCCAGTTTCTGCAAGTGGAAAACTCTTACGTGATTTTCTTAAATCGTCACATAAGCCAAACTGAACATGTGTGTCAGTGGATTTTGGCAAGTAGGCCTCAGGGTGCAGTGTCTGGTGCCCATCAATTCCGGGGATGATTCCATAGATCCTGCTGGGAGAAGCGAGGGGGTCTGAAGGCGGTGGCCTGGTGCGAGATGTCTCCTCAGCAGCTCACCTTGCCTGGGGAAGGGGAGTTGGGTGGAAAGGGCTCTGAGGACTCAGAATCCATTCTGCAGGAGTGGGCCCTGATGTGGCTTTCAGGCCTCGGGAAAACTCATTCTTCCATATCAGCTTGTCTGCATCCACCTATAATTAGCATCTGAAATTTCTAAATGAACTGCCTAATCAAGTAAATTTAGCAAACTTATTGTGAAGTGCTACCAAATCCTCTCCCTCCAACTGTCCACACAGACACCCGCACCACCTTGCTTGCCTATGCTATTTGCAACTGAAGCTGCTTATGTGTGCTGTCTGGCAGCCCCGCAGACAGCCCATTTATGTGACCTATAATGAGTTTATTAGTGTTTCACTGCCTTGTTGCTATTAAGTTTTGTCAGTTTCAGCTTCAAGAACACAAGGTTAAATTTTCAGTAGAGTTTTTGCAAAGTTTGAGTGGGATTAAGATTGTTAAAAATGTGTCCAAATGGTGGGTCCATGTGTTTATTTTCAAGATATTATTTCTGCCCACTAAGAGATTTTGATCTCTTATTTATAAATTTAACACTTTTCTGATGTTCAGAATAGCAGCACAGGGCTCGAATTTTATATTGCACACGACACATGAATGCATTAAATGTAGAGGATCAAACTGAAGCTGTAGCAAATGGAGCTGGACCCGTTGGTGACTGTGCAGCCCGAGATGTTGGTACCCCGGTCCCAGGGTGCAGCTAGGACTGGCTGTTGCTTTGACCTGGTAAATAAACATCATAAAGAAAGAGGGAAAATTCTCCCACAGATTACAAAAGGATGAGTTATGATATTATTTTCTCCCGGTACCATAAGATACGCAGGTTCTTCTATGAAAATACGTGCATGTGTAATTGAATATTATTTACCTGGATCCCTTCTGTAATTCTTGAGCAATTTTTTTTAGGAGAAGCCAATTCAGGAGTCTCTTCATTGGCTGCAATCAGAATAAAGTGGTTCCACTTTTAGGTTAAGAGAAAAAAAAATAAACAGTAATAGGCTGAGCTGCTATTATGAAAAGTTTATTATAATTGATATATAAGCTCGCTGGGGTCTTAAGCACAGAGCAGTTGGAAAATTTCACTAGCTCCTGGATCCAATTTTAAAAAATCTATGTTGTGTCCACGGTGGGGAGATGGCCATAGCTGCAAAAGCCCTCTGTCGTACATGGAGACACACCTGTGGCATTCTCTTGGTTCTATGCTGTTTGGGATGTAGAACGCTCTAAATCCTCTCATTACTGCCTTATAGATGACAGACACTTCAAGCAGTTCTCCATTTATCTGAGATTACCAGTTAAACTCGTTAAAAAGCAACTCTGGCTTGTTCACTCAATTGGCTGTGGGGAAGATTTTGTGTTCTTGAGCGACAGTGTGGCTTTGATTAGTGGAGTGCTATACTTTTTAGGGGAGACCTTTGCTAACTTAATTTATGACCCTGGTTGATGGCGTCTGTGCTGGGGCATTACGTATTTCCCCAACTATTGTACCTGGTGTCAATAAAGGTGCATTTAGGGAAATCTGAAATAAAACTCCAGGGCGTTTTTGTTCTTTGGGGAAGCAATGCACCATAAACATTTTGGGCTTGAGCCAACAGCTTTCCCTGACCGCGACTGCAAATTACTGTAGTATGTATAGATTGCCAGTGGAACACTATTTGAGGAAACCTGTATTTTATAGAATGTCACTTTTATGCACAATCCAGGCAAAAGGAAAAAAAAACTAATTTAGCCAGCAGACAGTATTCTTTCGAATGAGGATTATGAAAAAAATATTTACCAAAAAACAAGCTCTAAATATGGCTTTTTATTTAATCATTATTACATCAATCATCAATATCAATACTTAATAGCAACCTGATAATGTAGCCAGTAGGTGAAACAGCTATTAAAAAGTGTAAAAAAAGATTAATCAGGCACAGGTGATATTAATGCTCTCCAATTATTTAACGATAAGTACATATTTTTGAAGGTGTTTTTAATAATCGACTGTAATATTAGTTTGCAAAAATGTAATTTCTTCTTAATTTTGCATCTTAGCTTCTTTGTGCCGGGTACCAAGGTAGTATATTTCTGTAGTTAGTGTTTGCAGCACTCCGTGTAAAAAATCACGTTCATTTCAAGAAGCTGTTATGGTATTGATTCTGGTAAAGACTTCCATTAACTGACCAATCTAAATCTCATAAGTGATGTCAGGATAGTTATGCATTTGCTTGGTTCAAGTATTCAGCCATTATGTTAGAATGCAGGCAGTGTCTGAATATGGCTGTTAAATTATTTCTAAATACCGAACCAGAACAGCTTAACAGTTCTGCAGTTTGAGACTGACACAAAAATGACAATCTGCCACCTCTTTGTTTTTTAAATATTAACGTTGTATTGGGATAGTATTTTTGGAGTAAAAACCTGTGGCACGAGAGGATAAGTGACATAAACAAAGGCAGCTGGGCTTCATGAAATAATGGAACAATAAGGCCCTTGCAGCCGTTCTCATCACTCCAGTATGTTAATTAGCATTCTGTTGTGGCCGCAACACTGAAAACATGTAATCTGTATTGGTGTACAGTACAGCTGTGAACACACATTCTTTTTTGTGAGTCCCTGGAGTTAGCCTTGCCATTGGCATATGCGTTTGGGCCAAAAGTCAAGCCATCACCACTAAAATAGCACACTATAGAAGCAAAATGTCATTTGTCTTTTCTTATTTTTTTTTCTCCCCTCAATGCCACATGCTGTCCAGTGATGTAATCCAGTATCACTGCATCTGCCTCCCTGCTCTATTTTTGCAGGAGGGTATCTGAGGGGGCTGGGATGCCAGCAAGCAGGAGGATTTAAAAGGCAAGTGGCCCTAGAAGGGTCAAATTTAAAAATCAGTTCTTTCTTTTTGCATTATTTGTCTAAAAATATTTTTTTTTAATGCATAGATTTTTAAGTATCAGGGACCCAGAATCCGCTGCTTGTTTCCCTGCGGGGAAGGGGAGGGGGAGGCAGCTAATTCATAAGGAAAAAGAATCTCAGTAAACTTTACCCTTATTTATCATCTATATTTCGAACCTGATTCACAGTCCTTCATGCATGTAATACCCACTTGGGGTGGGGTGTCTTCTTCCCATTTCAGAGCTGAAGAAACTGAGGCTGAAGCATGGCCCAAAGATGGACTCTAATTGCAGGGGCTTTCTGACCTCTGTCTGCACGCAGACAATGGATGGCAGCAGAGAGTGAAAATGATTGGTCGTTTTGAGGCAAAGGGGTTAGTACCAGTGAGCGGAGGCAGCCAGTGGCTGGGAGCAGTAACTGGGGACTTCAGAGGCAGGACTCAGAAAGACCCCTCTTGCGTGATCTTCTGCTCACGTGTGGCTGACTGGGAGCCGCCCCTGGTACTGCCGGAACATGGCCCTGGGTTCTTTCTGATACCAGTTTTGGTGGCAGGAGAAGACTGGGTTTCAGCGTTGTTGTCACAGGAGCTTGACTAAGTTGCCAAAACCTGCTTGGATTTTTACCTGATAGCATTTGGCTTGAAAAGCGAACATGGTTCCATTTCAATTTTCCCTGGTTTCAAAGTAATTCAGCTTTCTTTGTATGAGTGTATGTGCAGCATCCCCAGCACAGGACACTTACACACACACACACACACACACACACACACACACACACGCACACACGCTCATACATACTCTTGTTCATGAAGTACGTATCCCTTTGCAAAATATTTTTTGAATCAAAAATTACATTTTCTAGCACTTTAAATGTATTATATAAATTCAAATAGGGACTACCCAGTTGTTAAAAGTTTTCCTACATTTCAGATTAATTTTATCCATCCCCTATCACCATCTGATCTGACTATACCAAAGGAGATTTTTAAAAAGAAAAAAAAAACCCAAATAACCAAAACCAAACCAAACCAAACCAACCAAAACAACCCCATCAGCTCTAAAGGAAATTTCAGACTCTGTGGGCAAAAGCTTCTTGTTGTCTCTTTCTGAAAAATGAGAATGAATACTTAGCTCAAGATTTTTCTTTTAATCTACCTCAAAGCTGATTGAAAAATTACCTGCACCCCATAGAGAAAACACAGCATCTGGGTCACCATGCTGATCCAATTTGGTTCTGCTTTCGAACTGTGGAGGAATCAAATGGTCTGGCGTTTAGGTGACGTGAGCGAGTGTCCATCTGGGAGCAGATGAGGTTAAAGGTTAATAGCACTTGCTTTTTTTCTTTTTTTAATTCCAGCAGAACAGAACTCTTTTACACGTGCCTGGCCCCTATCCTGAGTCCCATGTCCAACTCCACAGCCTTCGGAGAGGCCTCAGTTGGTGTCTTTGCTCAGACTTGCCTGGCTGAGGTAGGGCAGGACTGACACTAAGATTTTAGGCCTGTTGTTTCTCTTTTCCTGGAAACTCACCCCATCCCCCCTTGGTTAATGGCTCTTTAAATATTGAAATGCCTGGAAAAAGAAAACAAAATAAAATAAAACGCAGGCTGTCAAAGAGATAAGAACAACAACAACAAAAATGTTGGTATCTTTTAGAATTTGTCTTCCTAGTGGTAAAAGTATATAATTAATAGGAGAATTTTCCTCCAGATGTGGCTATACTATAATAGAGCCTTATAAATGCTACAGAAAGAAAAATTGCTTGGAACGAAGGCGTCCTCAATGAGAGCACACCTGGGTCTGACAAAGATTGCATTTAGGGACTGCTGTGCTATCACAACGCAGAGAAAGACCAAGTCTCCGGGAGCAGCTGGAGAGAAAGCCCCGGCAAATCTGCATGCAAATAGCAGCACATTGTTAACTTAATCAGATGCCGAGGAAAAGATGTGCCAGAACCGCGAGGATGATCTACATACACGGAGGGAGAGCGGCCTGGGCTGCCATGGCCGCTGGGCGAGGATGGGCCTGGAGCAAGGTGCAGTCGGGCTGGCCCAGCCTACCCACTGCCTGCCCATTTGCTCCAGCCTGCAGTCGATTTATCATAGAATGCTTGGTGCGCTCTTTGAAAAGATAGAAATGATGGAGTATATTTCAATTGGGAGGAAGCTTTTTTTTTTTTATGGTGATATAGGTATTGGTATTATTTTGCCTGACTCCATAAGTCCAATTAAAAAATATTTCTGCTTAAATATCCGGGTGCATGAAGATAAGAAATATTGCCCTCGAGTGTATAAAGAAAGAGATCTTTTCATTTAAAAAAAAAGATGCTCTCTAGAGTGAAGTGCTGAGTATATATTGTACCTTAAGAAGTGGAAGACACCTGTTATTTACATTTTATATTAATATTAACGGACATATATATTTTAAATCTCCTCCATCTTTTAGTCTAGCACCGTAAAAAATAAAAAGTAATACTATTTAATCACCCACAGCTTAATAGTGCCTTAGTTGTTTACTGCCATCGCACTAATTGCTCTGTACTAATGTGTTTTTCTGTGATATCCAGTAGTGCTAAGAGAACAGAGATCCATAACCAATTAAATATAGTGTTTTCTATGTTAAAAATATATCTGATGAGGCTAGAAAGGGAACAGGAGCTGCCCTTAACGAAGGCGCATTGGCACCGTCTGGGAGCCCAGGAAAAGGTGCCCGCGTTGCCTCTTTTGCGCAAAGACAAAGGGGGTAATTTTTTTGGCAAGAAAACAAACCCGAGGAAAGCACAACAAACTGAATGTTTCCTTCCCACCCCCACCCCCCCACCCCCTCCTGCAACTCCTTAGGCTGCTTCTGTACTCTCTCTTCCAGTGAGGGAGGGTTTGACTCGGGAGGGAGAAAGGGGGAGCAGCCACCCGGCGGTGCGGCGGGCAGGCGGCCGGGAGGAGCGGGGCTGGTCCCCGGTTGGGCTGGCCGGAAGGGCGCCCGTTCAGGCGCAGGCTGCCCACGGCAGAGGGCTCATCGGGGAGCACTGTTGTTGGCTCCAGAAGGAGCGAAGCGTCCCGGAGATCGGGCCGCGCTCGCGCGGCTCTGGGCGGGAGGAAGGTGAGGGGAAATCCGACCAAACAGGGTTCTTAACAATTTCCAAAGACGGTGGGAGTGACAAAGGAACGCAGGACGCCGCCGCCGCCGCTGTCTGGGCCCGCGCTGTTTCCTGGCGAAATCACTAGTCGGGGATGGGAGCCGGCCACAGGGCAGCCCGCCGCCCGCGTTCGCTGGCGGCGCGCCCGGTGGTGCAGCGGCCCCGGGCCGAGCGCTGCCCCCGCCGGCCCGCCGCCTGCCAGCCGGCCGGGCCCCGCCGAGCGCCACACTTCACCTTACGGAGGAGAGATAATGAGATCAATTAGAGGCGCCGTCACCGCGCCGAGACAGCTGCTGGCGCATAGTAATCACCGGCGGGTCCGCTGCGCAGGGGCGCCCCGCTACTGCTACCTGCGCCGGGCACCAGCACGCGCCGGCCCACCCGGGCCCCAGCCCAACCGGGGCCTGCGCCCTGCTCGCATCCTCTGCCGGGGAACTCACCTCTAGGCTGCCCCGCGCCGCCGGCCCACCCCGTGGGAGGGTCCTGGACTGGCGCCTGCACTTGTGCATGTGTGCATGCCTGCGCGGACATGTGTGGGTGGGTGTCCACGCGTGACTATGCCCTGAAGGTGCGTGTAAGTGTGACACTGTGTGAGCTTGAATGTGTGGGTGTGTGACGGTGTGCATGAGTGTGTGGGTATGAGGAGATGAATGTGTGTGTGTGAGTGTGCATGAGTGTTTGCATCATGTGTACGTGAATGGGTGTATTCCAGTGCTTATGGCAGTGTGAGTGTGCACGTGCATGTATGTGAGAGCTCTCTGCACATCCGTGAGTGTATGTGGATAAGCATGTGTCCATGTGTGGAGCATGTGTATTTGCAGGTGAGTATGATTCTGTGTGTGCACACACGTCTGTGTGTGCATTTGAGCATTGTGTGTGTAGGCAGCCTAAGTGAGAGCTGAATGTATGTGTCTGTGTGAGTGGTGAGCGTGGATAATGAGTGTGTGCATGTGGGTGCACGTACATGAGCCTAAACGTGTGTGTGACTCCATGTGAGTGTGGGCTTGTGTGCTGGGGGGTGGGTGTTGTGGCCCCTCCTCCAGTCCCTTGCTCTCCAGTGGCTCCTTGGATGCCTAGGTTTCCTTGTGGGCCAAGTGCCATATGCTGTGTGTCTGTGGTCCACACTTGGCATTCCCCCACCATGTGTGCCTATATGTTGATGGCATGGGTGGCTCCCCATCTCCTGACCTCCATTTACGTGTCCTCCCCACTGTGGATCTGTGTCTGTAGGCTCCACCCTGGTCAGCCCCTTCAGAAGGGCCTGCTTCCAGAGGCAGTGGGGGGGTCAGGACACGTGTGCCTCGCCATCTGGATCCCCCATGACTCTAGAGCAGATAATGACCTGCCCAGGCGCCACAGCCCCATTTCAACTTAGCCCATATTGAGCACCTACTGGATGCTCTTCAATTTAGCCCTTGAAGGCCAGACAGATTCTCACTTTAGAAAACAGAATGGGTGAGGGTCCAGAGACGGGTGGGGGAGAGAGATGCCATCCTAGTGACAGCTCACTCAGCGACTTTGCATTTGTTTTCCTGTCTGAAATGCTCTTCCTTTGGATCTTCATGTGGCTTTCAGCTCAACAGTCCCCTCCCCTCTGGACCACTCTGCCCATCCTGGGTCCCCATCGGCCACTCTCTTGTCATGTTTTGTGTCTTCATAGTGCTTCTTGCTGAAATTGCCACTTCACCCGCTCCCTTGATTATTGCCTCCTCCCTCATTAAAGCCCTCGCTCCCTGGGGCCAGGCCTTGCTGGCATGTTTGCTGCTGCGTCAGCACCTGGTATAGTGGCTGGTGCACAGTGGGTGCTGGGGGAACAGGCATCTGCTACCTGGCCATCCCTGGGGTCCTGGGGAAGCCCAAGGTAGCCAGTGTCTGCACTGTGGGCTGGAGTCCACAGCCACCCTGGGATGGAGGCTCTGGAAGGTTCTCTGAGAGACCATCACCGAGAGACCTGATATGGCACAACTCTGGGGCAGAGATGTGAGGGACATGTGGTGGTGCCCACAGGGGACCGTCTCAGTCCCTGATGGAGCTGCAGTCCCCTGCAGCCTCGGGAAGTGGCCAGAGTCCTGGCAGGTCCCCGTTTGGGCCTCACTTATAGAACTGTTTGTGCGGGTTCTTAGGTGCCCAGCAGGCCCCCTTGGCCACCCGCCTTCAACTGCGTCCTCAGAGGGCCAGAAGACCACTGGAGTCTGACTTCAGCTCTGTCCCTGACCTTGATGTGCCCTTGAACAAGGGGTTTGACCTTGCTGTAACTCGGTCTCGTCTTTGAGGTGGTCTGAGTGCCTGTCCTGCCTTCCTAATATGGGTGGTGTCTTCTAAAAGAGAACAGAGCAGTGTTTCCCGACCCTGTTATTGTCCCCACCTTGACACCACTTCTGACATTTTTTTGTCTTCTGACTCTCCTGAAGTGATGCTCTGGGCACTGAATTGGGGCGGTTTGGCTCCTTCGGAGATGGTGGGAAACTCCTGGCCACTCTGGGAGGCTCCCCTTTAGATTCAATACTGTTCCCCCCAGGTCCCTGCCCTGTTCCCCGAGGTCCATGCCC